GATAAAATCTGAATTCCATTATCAATACAAAAAAGGTATGTTATCAATAGATAGATATAGATGATGTACCTTTTTTGTATTGCTAATGGAATTCAGATTTTATCGCGTGGATTTTGGAAGGCTTTGTTCCCAGTGGCCAGGAGGAGGAAGGACCCTCTTGAATCCCCCACTCAGCTATGGAAATGCATGGGGCGACCCTTGGCAAGTCACACCTTGTAGCACCTTGGAGACTTTAACTGGGCAAAAGAAAGTTGTAGTATGAGCTTTCATAGGCTTGGTGCAGCTTTTCAACTCGTCAACGAAACAAAGGGAAATAAACTTCTCAAAAGGGAAGACACGGCTACAAGACTCTATATATCAACCTCTGGGAAACCGGAGCAGGAGAGGGGGACTTATACTTGTGTCCAGTTCAGTACTTGGAAAAGTTACTTTGTTTGGACGACAATTCCAAGAATCCCCCAGTTGCCAACCAATTGCTGACTTGGAAAACTAGAGAACTGTAGTTTCCAGACTAAAGAAACTGGATTATTATTTTTGTTGTTGTTGTTGCAATATTTGGAAGGTCTGATCCAACTTGGGCTTCCATTCAGGTAACCAAATGGACAGGACAGGAGACATGATGCTGGACTAGGTAGACCTTTGGTTTGTTCCAGCACTATAGTTCTTCTGAGGTCTCCATGGAAAAAATATATTAAAATGCATATTTGGAAGGATTTGTCCTAATCCTTTTTTGCTTAAACAACTTTACCATAGATCCTTTGAGTGCCTAAATATGTCCGGATTGCCAAAACGTAGAACAAGAAATTACACACGAGGTACCGATGGGTTTCCTTTTGATTTTTTAATGGAGACAATAAGAACTTCAGAAGCATTTGGGAAGGTGGAAGCCTGGCTTCTTTTTCATATATGTAAAGAAACACTTTTAAAGGCCTTTCCTCATCTCGGTTTTGAGAGCTTTTCTCCCTGAGGTACCAAGCGTTCACGGTGTCTCTTTGGAGAAAGCACTCGGCAATTGAAGAGAGTTAGCGAGGAAAAATTCAAGATCCTACATCTATCATGCAACCAGCAAGGAAAGAGGCGTTTGGTATTTCAGTTTGTCAGGAAGGATTACTTGGGATTATTTTGTTGTTATATTTGCCTTCGCATCTGCTTCAGCTTGGGATGACTCTATAAATGAGAGACCACTCTGATAGAGAAAGCTAAATAGCTCCCAAAATTACAAATCCCAGAATTTCACAGCATGGAGCCATGGCAGTTAAAATGATGTCAAACTGCACTATTTCTGCAGTGCGGATTAGACCAGAGAGAGAGATGATTAAAGAACAAACCAAGGCTTCATTCACACTACATAATAAACCCATTTTTAAGTTGGATCATTTTGAATCGATGGAGCGATTGAGCACTGAGTAGATGTTCATACCATTCGAACCATGATTAAAAATGCCCATTTCAATTTAATCCACTTCACGTTCACAGTCTTGAATAGGAAGGGATTTACCCCTGTTTAAAAAATTGTAATATCTCCTCCAAGGCAAGAAGGGCTCATAGTTAACAACTTCATAGTTGATTGTTTCTCAAGGCAGGAAATTGAACCAAAATGGGGGTGGGGGGGCTCCCACCCTTTTTTCCTTTGGCCCCAAGATCACTATGGCCTCCAGACCTTCTCTGAACTTGAATTTATCTCTCGGGCTGAAAGAAGTTCTCTGCCTTTGGCCAGGAGGACAAGTTGACCAGTTCCTCCAGAGCTTCTCATAGTAGATACCTTGCCTTCCTCTGGCTCAGCCTCAATCCATATCTTTTCTGAATTTCATCTGGTCCATTGGCCAACGGCGATCGTACTATGGAAAACAATGCAGCTTTTCTGACCATCTCAGCAAAGGTAGTTGCAATTCAGGGCACTCTGTCTATCAAATAATGCAGTTTATAGAGAGCAGGGAAGGGACCCACTGGCTGCACCATCATCTCTGGGAATGGGAACCCATTGCAAGCACCCCATTTCTTTCATTTTCCTCTTATTTTTTCCCTCCTTCTCGTGTGCCTGAATTGAGAGACAACCCTCCCGCCGGTAAATTCTGCAGTGCGCTATAATTGTCATGGTCAGCGGAGTGTGCAAGGCACAATGAAGGCAACAACAGAGAGGCCAGGATGCAAGATTATGCATTGTGTTGCTAGGATTCTTTGCAAAGAAATGGGGTCCCCTTCCTTCTGAGCCTTAACTAAAGACATTATTCTGGGTTAAATGTTTATTCTCTCTTGCAATAGCCTTGAGCTCCAAAGGCAAGGCAGACTTTCAATAGAAGAGCATTCAGCTTTTTACTAATATGCATGAAAAGCTTCGGTTTCTTAAAACACACACACACACACATATATATATTGCAAAGACCAGTAGTATGTATTGTGCCTTCCTGCTATTTATTTATATTTAATTGATCCAATTCAGAGAAAGCTGGGGCCCATTCACACTACAGAATTACAGTGCTACGATTCCACATTAAATGCTTTAATTCCACTTTGCTTTGCAGTTTCTTCAGGTGCTTACAATTCTCTGCCAGAGAGTCCCACCATTGTATTCAAGGGGAACAAAATGGAGAATTTTAAGTACTTCACCAAAGTGCAAATCCCAAGACTCCATAGGATGGAGATGGTTGTCCTCATCGTTGTTTGCCTTCAAGTCATTTCTGATTTGATGACCCTAAGCCTGGGGTTTTCTTGGCAGGATTTGTTCAGAGGAGGTTTGCCTTGAAGCTGAGAGAGTGAGACTGGCCCAAGGTCACCCAATGGGTTTACATGGCCAAACTGGGATTCGAACCCTGGTCTCCAGAGGCCTAGTCCAATGCTCTAACCACTATGTCATGCTGGCTCTTGGGGAAGATGAGGGTACGGCAGTTGAAGAGGGATTGAACTGCTACAATTGTGCAACATGTGGATACACTGAAGGGAAGAAATCTATAGGATGCTATTGGGATGGATATAGCTAGAAGGCCCATCTGTAGCCAATGTTGGCTGCAGAGACAATGCTGCGGTATTTCTGTTTGCATTGCACCATATGCCTTTCGACCAGAGAGAGAAAAGGGAGTGGGCTGGAGAGTCTCTGTAATGGAAGGACTTGTCAGTCCCCATTAACACCAGATCCCTCCGTGTGACGGGATCCCATCTGACATCGCCATGGGCAAGTTGCCTCCATTTGTAGTCGGGTGTAGCATTAGAATGGCTCCGGATGAATCCAGAACAAAGTTAAAATGATGGAGCAGCCTACTTGGTAAGGCAGGGAGACAGAGAGAGAGGGAGGTGGAAACAGGAGAGAGCTTTTTAGCACGGAATTAATAATGCAAGTGTTTAGACACTTGGAGATCCTGGGAGATTTGCTCATTTAAAGAGCATGGGGAAGGAGGAGAGCGAGAAGGAGGGGGAAGAAACCCAGTCCATCCATCTTGCACTGGCTTCCTCTCTTTGGAAGGAAGACAGTGTTTCCCATCATCCTTAAAAAAGGGGGTTTGGGGTGAGCTTTGGGGAAGCATCAGGAAGGAAAACTGTCCCACCAAAGTTGAGCACATTATGTCCCATTGGTGTCAACTAGAGAAATCTGAGCATGTCTTTCCAAACACCTAAGTTATGGTTGGAGGCATATCCTATCTCCTCCTTTCTGAAATGATTCAAAGAGATAGCCATGTTAGTCTGTAAAATCGGGGG